AATCATAAATTTCTTACACGTCCTATCAAGTATCCAAGATTCTCTCGATTACTTCTCCTCATCCAGATACGTATCACCTCCGGTATGATACACCGTGGAAATATTAATTTATATTTCATCCTTCTCTTCCAAGAATTTCGTCGTCCAATCGTTTCCCCATAAAAGGTAAAATAAGGCATACAACGAGACATCATACGTTTCCTAAGCTAAAGTCGAGAATAACGTCTCTGAGACGTTAGCTAAGAATATGAAAAAATATTTTCCTACATGTTTAATATGGCTGTTCAACGCTTGTACCCTATATTCTACCTAGTTCGACAAAGCAATCAGTGAAAGCAATCAAATTTTCGTCTGAACATTGCGGAAGAGGTTCGTGTGTCGAGTTTCAGTGTAAAATTAGCGTTAACGTTCTTGGGCAAGGGATCGGCATTTATAAAGGGACCTGTTGCAAAAAATTAATTCCAACGCAAAGAATATTAACAGGTCGTTTGAAATGCAGATTGATATTTTCTAAATTCTGAAGCAAACGACGTGAATATCTGGACATCTTGGAACAAAGCAAGAGGGACCAAAATTACTCGAAAATTACTCTGCTCAAACAGAGCCTAGAGTCACAACGAATGTATATTGACGAATTGACGTTCGTTATCAAAAGTACTTTCAGCACACAACCGAGTGAATCACACCCAGAATAATCAAACCGTATCATTAACCATGTCTATCTCTGATCAATTACGTGCCGTATAGGCTGTCGTCGAAAGCCTAAAGTATAATGTCTGCTGTCGCGAGGCCTCTCCTTCTCCTGTTCCCTTTCTACGTAGAATAAGAGAATCTCATTCGCTGCGTTTGATATTTCATGGAAACGTGTTCGATCGGCCGCCTACCAAGGTAGAACGGGTTGGAAAGAGGAAAGGAGCTGGATACGTACGGACGGTTCAGAAAGAGCTGTGACGGGGTTGGCTAAGGGATAGGTATATCGATTGAACATTTGCTCAAATATTTAAACGCTATTACCGCTGGTCTGCGTACAGTTATACTATACGACGAACTCGGTCGCTGTACTCTCTCTCTCTCACACACACACACACTCTCTCTCTGTCTTTCTCCTCTTGTCTGGGATGCCTGAAACTACTAAATTGCTCGATCATAGTCTGTTTCTGCTGGTTCGCGTATATCTGCAACAATCACGCGTTACACCATTCCCATCCGTACTGTTCAAGATGACACTTCGAATCACCTGATTATTCCGCGTTTGGATTACGTATTAATACAAACGGAGGTAACAGAGCTCTTGTTAGCGGAACAACGAACAATTCACGACAAGTACGCAGTTTTAAAACGAGATCCATGTCTCTCTCGCTACAATTCGTTACATCGTTCGACGCGGAAATTGAAATTCTTAAATGGACGATTAGAGTTGAAACGAGAGCAGTGTTTTGATTGAAAATATAAATTTTTGTTCGCAGATGTAATATATATATAATTTTGATATAAAAAATTGCCTCTTTTTTCAGTAGACAGACGTACGTATCTTGAATTTTAATAATTTCATTTTAAACCGAAAGATTGTTTTGGAGAAAGAAAATGCACGGTTTCGCTACACGATTGTATGCACGGCGTCGACTTCTAAATGGAAAATCAACAATCTTTGTCACATTTTGGAAACGCTGTAATTATCTAATGTGTGTGATAAAGAAACCTTGAAACTACGACACTGTTCATTGCTGACGAGAACATCGAATCGTTCCGAGAACTGTCGAAAAAGATAAGAAACTTTGAAGTTGGCCGAAAAGTGGCAAAAAGTAATCGAACAAAATGAACGATGTACAATGAAGCTTTCGTCTCTCGTAAAAGGTTCTTCCTTCATTTGTACCCAAAAAAAGAAGAAGAAAAAAGAAAACGTTGGCCAACGTAATATACATTTCTGATCAAAACATAAAGTGTGAAGGTATTCCAAGGTATTCGCGACGGAACATTCAATAGCAAATACAGCTACACGCATATGCATTGACAATTTTCTTCAAAATATAGAAACTTCGGATTGCTCGAGTGTTCGTTCGAAGCAATGTTCCCGAAATTTCGAAGGGAATTCCGGTTCTTACGGGAATTTGCATTGCTCTCTTGGAGAGGGAATTTTTCTGAAACCGGCTTGCGGTACTCTCGCAAGCATGGTTGCCGATCGCAGCATGAAAGAGCAACCGAACAAACAAATAGGCGCGCAGTGGTGCTGATTGTATCGCGGGTGCCGTAATTGACTACGTGGTCCCTATGCTTGGAATGTTGATTGGCGAGATACGAGGCCGAGGCATCGAACAAATCGGGCCTTCCGGATTAAACCAATAAATACGAAAGTATGCCTGGAAACCGGAGGTAGAGCAGGTATCACTTGGCCGAAGGTCGGGCCCCCGAGCCTCGGTTATACGCGTGCACGCACGCCCACAGGAACATGTGCGTTTCTGCATCGGGAGAGGGAAAAAGGAGCAGATGACGACCGGACCACCGTGCTCTGAGAGAGAACAGGTATTTTTGTTGCGTTTCTTCTGCCTTTTCGCGATCATTTGCGTGCAAGCGCCGCACCGTTCCACTTCCACAATTTAATATAAAAAGGCGTGCTTGTTTTTCATTCGACTCGACTCAACTTTCCTCCATTCTCTTTACCTTTCTGCGCTTAGAAATTTCAAAAATTGAAAGTGGAATACACTTTCGTCCCGTATTGTATTCTTCGTTATCGAAATATATAGATATTTTCAAACAACAGTTAGTCGGGATTAATTTCCAAAGTGTACATGAACACGCGTAATCTAGGAAATTTTCGCGCAAATATTATCCCAAATATTCCCATCCATCCTGATCGATTCATCTCGCTCCACGAACTAGCAATCTCGTTAATGGCCGAGAGAGAAGAAAACGTAATTTCCCTTTTCCCGTGTCTCGTAAAAATGACGAATCCTTTTCGTCGAAATTATAATACTCGGAGCATAGCCGGCGGTCAATCAACGGCAGCGATGGGATCGAATAAAAATTTGGAAACCAATAGGGCAGAGAGAGAGATAGAGAGAGTGCGGACGCGAGAGACCTAGCACACGCGCTCGTAAATTCTCGGCCGCGGTACAGTCGTAATTGCTACGTAATTTACAGTCTCCGCAAAAGCTGGCCTTTTGTCATTCAAATTCGACGGCTGTCGCGATTTGTTTGCGCGGTACCTTTGCCAACGCGGCGAGCATCGGCCACCATAAACCAGTAAAGCAGCAGCCTGGCCGTATAAATACGAGGTCATAATGTCAAGGAACGAACATGAGCGACGGAAGACCCATCCTCGGCGATAGAACTACCCACACACACACACACACACACACA